GTGTGGTGAATGAGGCTGATGACAGGAACAGGTGAGATGATTGGAGTTGATGAGGTGCAGGCTGAGGTTGCTAGGGAAACAGGGCTTGGCTGGAGCTTGATGAGGGGACCAGGAGTGCTGCATGAAGGCTGAAAGATTGGGAGTCATGACATAACTATAACCTTCTGATTAAACATTCAAAGATTAATCAGATCAATATTTCATATTTATATAGAATATCACATCTTATTGGTCATAATTAATAAATATGTAGTCAGTCATCATCCCGTTACAACAATAATGCTTGGAGCGGCCATTGGCAGAGATTCACTGAAAGGAATGTTTTCATTTTGGGGTATAAATTCTGACCTTGTCATGTAAATTAATTTATCTTGCTTAATTTCAACATAGAACAGAGTATTAACTATTGTAATCTAGTAACAGCCGTAGTTCACATGAGTGTGACAGCTGAACCGACAGCACCCTCTTCAGTTCTGGAGTTCCTGGTAAATGAGACAGTGGCCTCCCTCTGCCTAAGTGTGGGGGGGCGGGGCGGGTCCTGACTGTTGTCTGTGCTTATTCACCAAACTACAGCTCAGACTACCTACCCATTTTGGAGTGTTCCGGTGACTCCCTCGTTCTGCTGGGGGAATTTGCTGCTCATGTGGGCAAAGACAGTAAGACCTGGAGTGGTGTGGGGGGGAGGAACAGCCCTGTCGTGGTAGCAATCCCCAAACCTGCTGGTGGACACCATTGGTTAGGAGAGATACAAGGAACCACCCCTCGTCAAGCTTTTTGACAGGTCTATTGTTCTTTGACCTTTATGACCTCACCCCCCAAACCACCTTACGTCAAACTTGACAGGTGTATTGTTTTATGACCTTTTGTGATATGACCTTTAATGACCCTATATGTCAAGAAATGAATTGATGACTGTTGTGTAATGCTTCAATGACGCATGAAGTTATTGATTGAAGTCCCCTTTTGTCAAGGTGTATATTGATGATCTGCTTTGATGTATTCAATCTGCACCACTTTACGTCAAGTTAGGATTGATAACTCTTTTGTGTTAGGATACCTCACCCCACAGTTCCCACAGCCCCTCCCTTTCATATGTAATACCCCATATCCCTCCCTCCAACCCTGCTTGCCTCTTTAAAAGCGCTGATCCATTTCAGCGGACAGACTGAGAACGTATCAGAATGGTGAGAGGCCGAAGAAATACATCTAAGAAAATGGTGAAGCAAGAGGAGATGGATGAAGTGTCTACAACCGATGCTTCAACCTCTACCCGAGAGGAGAAGGAGGTGAAAAAGGAGAGCGTGGACACGCCGTCGCCGCTATCACAGACCTTGCTCTGTGAAAAATTCATAGCGATCCATTTGCTGCCTGCTTGGGTTGGTGCTCCCCGCAAATCTACATTCTACATGTGTCGAGTTCAGCTTCCTCCCTTTGGCAGTAAAGAGTCCTTGGAGCAAATATGGCCACTGGAACCTTATGGCTATACTGGTAGTTTTGGGTACCGGTTCAGCTATGAAACTAAGGAGCTGTGTCTAATCCATGATGTGGCTGAGGACGAAACTCTCAAGCCATATTTACCACATTCAGCGGTTCTCTCCTATAAAATATTTCTCGTGCTTTACGTTCTCCACAAGTGTCAATGTTGCACTGCATTGTAGCTCTGGAGACACTTTAAAGGAATAGGTCATCAGAGGGATGAGCCAAGAATGATCCCATCTGCTGCAGCTATGAGCAGCTTGGTTATGGAGGCCATGAAGGACACAGAAGTGGAGAAATCAGATGCAGTCTACAGGTAGAGATGGGGGAGGGCTTGTATTCTGTTTATTCACTACCACCATATCTCAATTTCATCTTCCCTCAAAGTACGTCACTGTACTTGCCTCTGATTGGCTGGGTAGCTGTGAAACACCCAGAGTTAAGTCACCTCCCCACTTGCCCTCACCCCCTCCATTGTTTCACCAGCTTTTAATAAACTAGAGGGCAGATTCCTGACTGCAGTATGGATGTGTGTGTGTGTGTGTGTGTGTGTGTGTGTGTGTGTGTGTGTGTGTGTGTGTGTGTGTGTGTGCGTGCGTGCGGGGGGGGACCTGCCCTCCAGCTGCACACAAACACATACACAAATTGGCATGTGCGTAGTGCCAAACTCCTCCAACGTCTACTGACGCCAAGCCTTTGATGTATAGACGAGTACACACACACACACACACACACACACACACACACACACACACACACACACACAAACTTTCCCTGTCCTAGTGTCTTCATGTGCCTGCCTCCTAACAGCTAAGCTCCTCACTAAATACAGGTCCTTCTCAAAAAATTAGCGTATTGTGATAAAGTTCATTATTGTCTGTAATGTACTGATAAACATTAGACTTTCATATATATTAGATTCATTACACACAACTGAAGTAGTTTAAGCCTTTTATTGTTTCTAATATTTATGATGTTGGCATACAGCTCATGAAAACCCAAAATTTCTATCTCAAAATATTTGCATATTTCATCTGACCAATAAAAGAAAAGTGTTTTTAATACAAAAAAAGAAGTCAATTATGTTCAGTTATGCACTGAATACTTGGTCGGGAATCCTTTTGCAGAAATGACTACTTCAATGGGGCGTGTCATGGAGGCAATCAGCCTGTGGCACTGCTGAGGTGTTATGGAGGCCCAGGATGGTTCGATAGCGGCCTTAAGCTCATCCAGAGTGTTGGGTCTTGCGTCTCTCAACTTTCTCTTCACAATATCCCAGATTCTCTACGGGGTTCAGGTCAGGAGAGTTGGCAGGCCAATAGAGCACAGTAATACCATGGTCAGTAAACCATTTACCAGTGGTTTTGGCACTGAGCAAGTGCCAGGTAGTGCTGAAAAATGAAATCTTCATCTCCATAAAGCTTTTCAGCAAATGGAAGCATGAAGTGCTCCAAAATCTCCTGATAGCTAGCTGCACTGACCCTGCCCTTGATACAACACAGTGGGCCAACACCAGCAGCTGACATGGCACCCCAGACCATCACTGACTGTGGGTACTTGACTCTGGACTTCAGGCATTTTGGCATTTCCCTCTGCCCAGTCTTCCTCCAGACTCTGGCACCTTGATTTCCGAATGTCGTGCAAAATTTGCTGTCATCTGACAAAAGTACTTTGGACCACTGAGCAACAGTCCAGTGCTGCTTCTCTGTAGCCCAGGTCAGGTGCTTCTGCTGCTGTTTCTGGTTCAAAAGTGGCTTGACCTGGGGAATGCTGCACCTGTAGACCATTTCCTGCACACGCCTGTACACGGTGGCTCTGGATCTGGATGTTTCTACTCCAGACAAAGTCCACTGCTTCCACAGGTCCCCCAAGGTCTGGAATCGGTCCTTCTCCACAATCTTTCTCCGGGTCCGGTCACCTCTTCTCGTTGTGAAGCGTTTTCTGCCACACTTTTTCCTTCCCACAGACTTCCCACTGAGGTGCCTTGATACAGCACTCTGGGAACTGCCTATTCGTTCAGAAATTTCTTTCTGTCTTACCCTCTTGCTTGAGGGTGTCAATGATGGCCTTCTGGAGAGCAGTCAGGTCGGCAGTCTTACCCATGATTGCGGTTTTGAGTAATGAACCAGGCTGGGAGTTTTTTAAAGCCTCAGGATTCTTTTGCAGGTGTTTAGAGTTAATTAGTTGATTCAGATGATTAGGTTAATAGCTCGTTTAGAGAACCTTTTCATGGTATGCTATTTTTTAGATAGGAATTTTGGGTTTTCATGAGCTGTATGCCAAAATCATCTTCAGCCTTTTTATAGCTTAAACATGTTTCTAATGGTCCATTGTGTGTGTGTGTGTGTGTGTGTGTGTGTGTGTGTGTGTGTGTGTGTGTGTGTGTGTGTGTGTGTGTGTGTGTGTGTGTGTTAATTTAATTGACAAAATATTTTCAGGTTTTTTTTTCATGACAAATACATTTTTGCGGACTAAAACGAAATGTGAATTTTTTATATTTCTTTATAGTTTCAAGTAGGTGTAGTTAACATTTCCTTTGCACTAATTATTGCATCAGAAGAAAAATACATACATCTATTGACCAAAACTTTACTAAAGTTAAAACAACTTGGATGACTAAATTTTGACTAAAACTAAATAAAAATTTCTTGCCAAAATTAACTGGAGAGAGAGAGAGAGAGAGAGAGAGAGAGAGAGAGAGAGAGAGAGAGAGAGAGAGAGAGAGCATGAGCTGAGATGTGAGTCCATTGCCAGAGCTCTGAGGTCTGTCTTCACCTGGCTGCAGTGTCTCCAACACACCTCCTACTCTCCACTGTCTGGTCTCTGAAGGTGATTTAGAGTTTGAGTAAAGAACTACAAGCCATTTTCTGACTGGACAAACTGTTTCTCATCTGGAGTCAGTGGAAGATGGGAGAGATGTCTGCAGGAATGTTTACATCACTCGGTCTCTTTCTCCTTCCTCTCACGTCCCACTGGTCCTGTTCTCCTCATGTCTCTCACACATCTCAGTTTCATTCTGTTTCTCCTATTTATTGTGTCCTCCTTTGACTCTGCTCTTCTTCTCACTTCAGCCATCTCTCCTTACCCACACATCATTTATGGTCACCTCATTTTTTGTCTGAACACTTTCCCCTGTTCCTATATCCTCTTGGTCCAAGTGGGAGCTCTCCTCCTCCTCCTCCTCACCTACTAGCATTTGTTTTATCTGTCATCATCTCCTTCCACTATAAGTCAGCACACTCAGGGTCCAAAAGAACAGGGAAAGTCAATTATGCACTCAAGGACATAACAGATCTGTAAAACAGATAAACACACACACCCTTCCAGCCTCTATCAGTACCTGATTAGTAAATCCAACAGTGCCAACACAAACCTTTCATCCTGACTCAAACCACTGGTGGTTTCTGAAGTCACAGAGTAAAAAAGGCTTGACATGAACGAGGAATTAGCAACTGCATTCAGATGAGGACAGAAGTGTCATTCCAACAGTTGCATTAGCAGCAGACATGTAAATGTAAGCTTACTGGATAGAAGAGCAGGTCTTGACGGGTCCTACTTCAGTGGATCCAGGTGAGTGGTCCTACCTTCAGCAGCCAGCAGCAGAGAGGCTCAGATCCTGAATGCAACACAGCATTTGTTCTACTATTGTCTCCCAGCCAGCTGCTCTCTCTGTCTGCCTCCCACCTCCTCCCTCTGCCTCTCCTCTGTCCCACAGTCACGCTTCCTCATTCTGCCTTCAACAGCGAAGCCAACAGGAGGAGGGAGCCGCCTGGATCCTCTGCCGTCACATGTGGATCATGACACAGAAATCGTATATCACACACCCTTTGTCTCTCCTGTTTCACTTGCAAACACAGCAGCTGACACTCAAACACGCTCCACAGCAGCAAATGGGAATTCCAGGTCTGAACAGTGCTGGTGTACGGGGTCAGAGTTATGAAACTGTTTATTTAACAGGACTAATAATGCAGTTAATCAACAATCTAAAACTGTGTTTTGAGCCTCTAAAAAGCATAAAAAACATTCTTTCGACTTTCATCTGTCCCAGGAGCCCTGATACAGGTCATTCTAACCTCTCTATTGGTGCTTATACACTAGCATCGGTCCAGTCCCTATTGGCACCGGAATTTGGTTTCACACACAGGTCAGATTTGCGTTTTCTGTGCTGAGAAGACTCTTTTTCTCAAACATTCTCCCCAGCAGTCAGACTGAGACCGAGGCGACAATACGGACTGATTGGCTGGCTGAAATTACGCCTACACAGTAAAAACAGTTGGGTTATTAGACCAACCCAACTGCTGGGTTGGGGCTAAAAATCATCTGGTTGGGTCAGTTTAACCCACGATTGGGTCAAACAATATGACCCAGCATATTGGGTTAAAATTTGCGGTAAAAATGTAATGTCTTTTTCTTCAGTGAACCAGCTTTGCCATTTTAATTTGAGGAATGACAAGACCTTTAATTGACCATCACACCAAAAAGGAGTAAGAAGAAGGTAAGATGTTTATTGTTTATTTGGATCCCCATTAGCTTCCACAGCAGTGGTCGCTAGTCTTCCTGGAGTCCACAGTATTAAAATACAATAATGCTATCAACAGTGCATGTAAATAAAACAAACATACTTAGTCTAAATACCTATGAAAATTCATAGCTGCAAAAACCGCCCACTGCTGGCCGCAAGATGAACCCCAACAGGCACTCCAGTGTGGGATATATCCGACCACTTACCCAACAATAAGTAAAAACAAGCGAAAATACATTTTTTTAAAACAATAAAATTTGTTTTATGGTCCTCTTGAAAATGTTATGATTTTGGATGTCTCTGATACAACATGGGAGTGAATTCCACTCAATAGCTCCTCTATACAGAATAGTTTTTTGCATAAAATTACTTCTGGGTCTTTGCACCATGACCATATTGTTACTTACTTGCCGTGTTTTATGCTCATGACAATATCCACTGAGTAATAGTCTTTCTTTAAAATAGTGTGTGTTGTTAATCATGACCTTTTGCATAAACAGCAGAAGGCTGTACTTTAGTTTTGCCTCCATAGTTAACCAAGACAGTTTGAGATGCATCTCGTCCACAATGGTACGAAAAGGACAGTGTAAAACTACCCTAGATGCTCTGTTCTGAGCTATTTGAAGTTTCTTTAGATGTTTCTGGGCTGAGGCTGCGCAGTGGCGCAGTGGTTAGAGCTGTTGCCTTGTAGCAAGAAGGTCCTAGGTTCACTTCCTGGCCTGGGATCTTTCTGCATGGAGTTTGCATGTTCTCCCTGTGCATGCATGGGTTCTCTCCGGGTACTCCGGCTTCCTCCCACAGTCCAAAAACATGACTGTTAGGTTGATTGGTCTGTCTAAATTGTCCTTAGGTGTGAGTGTGTGTGTGCATGATTGTTTCTCCTGTGTGTCTCTGTGTTGCCCTGCGATGGACTGGCTCTCTGTCCAGGTTGTACCCCGCCTGATTGCCCGTTGACCGCTGGAGATAGGCACCAGCCCTACTGGACATCTCCTTTCCATAGGCTCCAATAAGGGAAGAGAGGTGGAGCTGAGGGTGGGGCTGTAAGGCTGGGATAAACTGACGACACCCGGTCGAACTAGCTACAAGCTAACCTGAAGCTAACCCTGGCTAACCCAAAGCTAATTTGGAGGTGGGAGCTAAGCTAACGGAGGTAGCAACCTAGCTACAACCGGAGTTAACTGTGCACAACACCAGAGCTTCTGAGTCAGAGATACACTGGGCTGACCGCTGGGTAAAACCGGGTGGAACACAGAGTTCTCCGAGACCTCCACAAGCCGGCAGCCGCACAGCAGACAAGCGCCGCTGCGATCTGAGATGCGCAGAGCTGCCGCTGGGGAGAACCGGGTGGAAAGGTTTCCATCCCAGAGCTCCACAAGTCGTCAGCCCGCGCATCAAACAGAAGCCGCGATCAGACAGAGATGCGCCGAGCTGCGAGGAGGGGAGAACCGGGTGGAAAACATCGGTCTCCCGAGAGCTCCACAAGCCGATAGTCGGAACCCAGCTCCACCAACATGTTATATTTCAACCCATTTTCTAAAGTGCAGCATTATATTAAATGCACTGGGTTTTACCCTATTACATTTAAATTTCATGGTTAAACAGTACATGTTAAAATCTAAGCTCAGCTCGACAGTGTCCTAAAATACATAAATATAATTTTACTTACCGAAAAAAATGAAGTGGAGACTCCTTGGACGCTCTATTAGTGAAATTAATGCCACAGCAAGTCATTTTGTCCAACAGTTGCACAAAAAATATCCAAACAAGAATACACAAACACAGAGACTCAAAATCCCGGAACAGTTTCTAGGCCAGACCGAGGCTCTACTGAGGCCTTTCCACGGAGCTAGCTCTGTGGTCACGTGGGTCTGATGCTCATTAATTATACAGAATTTTAGGCTTTTAATACACTTAAACAGAAGAGTGAGAAAAAATTCAGCCCCCTCAGAGTTGTCATGAGTGTAAACTACATAAATTAAACAAAAAAAAAAAAAACATGTTTCGGTACCAGGCTGTAAACATGTTTATTTCTGCTGTGAAATTGGTATTTTTAACATTGGAGTCAATGAGGATTTGCTCGCTTCTGACACCAGCGCCCAGCGGATGAGGGTGGAACTGCAATTTATTTCATTTCCGGGTTTGCCTCAATTTTAGAGCTGCATTGTGGGGGCTTGAGGGCCACATTTCAGAAGTATAGGTAAGTTAAATGTTTACACTGCCATGTTTGCAAATTTCTGTAAGAAATGTAATTCAGCAAACAAAGTTGGCAGTATTGTTAATCTCTTTATTTTTCACTCTAAGGCACACAACAAGCATGGAATTCTCTGAAGTTGTAGCTGGCACTTCAACAACAGGCTCTGTTCACATCACACATTTTGTGACCTCCACACCAGTGAAGCGCCAACATTTGTCGGCTATACCAGAAGAACAGATCACACCTATAAAGAGACCTCGTTTGGATGAGACCACAGACGCTGACGACACTTTAGAAGGCAGTAGTTCAATGAACATCCCAAGCCCACAAGATAAAACATATGACCCTCTGGCATCAATAAGTGCTTTAACGGATGTCACTGAACACACGTACGCTATCCAATACCAGCATTTATTTATATTCTTTCAGATACATTCACAAATTATTCATTAATTATTTGTTTTATATTCACTCTAGAAAGGACATATCAGTTCCAGCATACAGTATGAATACCTATTTAGTATATGAGAAATGCCTTTTGGAACTGTTTGAGAAATGCCCCCCTGTGTGTCAACGAGCAACAAGGGTGCAGACCAGAAGAATTGGCACTTTTCTGACTGTCGAGCAGTGATGTCTCCACTGTGATTATCTTAGAAAATGGAATAGTCAGCCATTACATGGAGGTACTCCAGTGGGGAATCTTCACCTTTCTGTTGCTGTTGATTCAAACGGTGGATCATTCTTCAAATTGGAAAAAGTAATGAATAACTAACTTCACCACAATATAAACTTCCAAAATATGGTATATATTTAGACATAATGTTTTGTGTTTCCTTAGATTTTCCAGGCAATGAAACTTCAAATGTTCCACCACTTCACATTTTGACGGCATGCAAGACTGTATATTGAGCCAGCTATTGTACATATGTGGAAGTCAGCCCAGGATGGCATGATGGAGGAGCTAAAACAACAACCTGCCATACTTGGTGGTGGCATGAGGGCTGACTCTCCAGAAATAATTATCCTTCATTTGATTTTGCTGCAACAATAAAATTTGATCTAATTCGTTACATTCACATTGTGCTTCTAAAAGGTCACTCGGCGGAGTATGGCAGTTATACCATGATGGACCTGAGGAGCCAGAAAATAGTGGATTTGCAACTTGTTCAGGTTTGTGCAGTGATGAGAAATATTTCAAGAAGTTATTATCTGCTAGAGATCCACAAAATAATTTGTAATTCCTATTGCAATTAATTAATTATGTTTATTTTGCACAAGCAGAGCAATGAAGTTGGTGGAAGTTACCACATGGAGCTTGAGGGTCTGAAACGCAGTCTGGGTGTCTTGAATGAACACAATATACCTTTGGACTGTGTTGTTACTGACCGCCATCCTCAAGTCCAGAAGTACCTGAGACAAGTGGGCAGGATCACCCACTACTACGATGTGTGGCATATCCAGAAAGGCATTTTTGTCTGTATTTTGGTTGACTTCAGGGGTGGCGTTAGGCCCGGCTACTTGGGCTGAAGCCCCGGATGTTTTATGAAAAGCCCCAGATCTAAATCGTGAAAGTAGCATGCAGTACCAAAGTCCAACAGAGAGGGAGCAGCTGGCAGTAGTTTGTATACAGCCTGCCTGCGCCTCCACCACTGAAGAAGAAGCCCTTCAGCAGCCGGCTTCTTCTACACTCTCTGCCTGAAACGCATAAGTGAAGATGGACATAAGGACGTTTTTTAGACAAAAAGTACAACGACAGAACCCCAGCTTTGATGAGACTGGTGTTGACTCAGGTTTGTGAGTCTTATTTGAAAATATTTGTTGTGCTGCTGGTTTGCCTAAAGTTAGCTTACTATCAGGTAAAGTTGTTGGAGAAAGAAAGGGAATATTTACTATCATCTCACACTAAACACTAACAGGAACAATATTCTGCCCTCAATATGCTTAATATGTAGCTTCAGATTAAAAATTATGTGGTACAAGACAAATATATGTGATGTTGACTAGTGCGTGTCACGTGTGTGTGTGTGTGTGTGTGTTAAGCCCCGGATCTGGTGGGAAAAGTAAAAATAGGGATTAAAATTTTTCAGGAAAGGTAAAAAGAACAAAAGAGTAATCAGTGGATCCTGGGAAAGGCAGATATGTTAGAAGAAGAGCAGTTAGTGTGTAATATTCAACACAAGGTCACATCAAAGCTAGTCTGAACAGGTGACTTTGCAGATGCTTTTTAAAGGAGACAACTGAGTCCACTGATCTCAGGCTCAGGGGGAGAGAGGTCCAGAGTCTGGGGGCCACAGCAGCAAATGATCTGTCACCTTTGGTCTTTAGCCTGGTGCTGCACAACCAGTAGGCTTTGGTCACTGGAGCTCAGGGACCTGCTGGGCGTGTAGGGACTGAGATCACCAATGTAAGATGGTGCTTGTCCATGTAAGGCCCTATGGACTAGAACCAGGATCTTCAGATGAACCCGGCAGTTAACCGGCAGCCAGTGAAGCTGTAAGAGAAGCGGGGTAATGTGGGTGTGTTTTCCTAATTTGGTCAGAAGTGTAGCGTGATGGAACTGACTACTTTTATGCAAGCACAGGCATTCTGAACCACCTGTAGATGATTCAGGGAGATGTTGCTCAGACACGTGAAAAGAGAGTTACAGTAGTCTAAGCGTGAGGAGATGAAGGTGTGGATAACTGTCTCAAGTTCAGAGCGGGAAAGAATGGGACTCAGCTTAGCAATGTTCCTGAGATGGAAGAAGGATGAGCCAACAAGAGAACTGACATGAGAATCCAGGGTGAGAGCTGGGTCAAAGGTCACACCAAGATTCCTGACAGAGGGTTTTGTGTGAGAAGGAAGCTGACCAAGGGAGTCTCTGACTTTGGGAACCAGCTTGTCTGGGGCACAGATGAGGATCTCAGTCTTATCTTCATTCAGCTGTAGAAAGCTCCCAGCCAGACAGGTTTTGATAAGAGTCTAAGCAGGTGTGTAACAGCTGCAGCTTAGACATCTCATGGGGCTTAAAGGAGATGTACAGTTGGATGTCATCTGCATAAAGACTGTAGGAGATTCATTAAAAAAAGTCATTTGATGGAGAGGGAGCATATAAAGGAGGGACAGTAGGAGCCCCAGCACAGAACCTTGTGGGACACCATGGGTAAGGGAGGTAGAGGAGGACTGAAACTTGGAGATGGCCACAGAGATGGAACGCTCAGAAAGATAAGAGGAGAACAACTCCAGAGCAGATCCTTATAGGCCTACCCAGTCTCTCAGCCTATCCAGTAGCAGGTGAACGGTCAACGGTGTCAAAGGCTGCAGTCAGGTCCAGCAGGACCAGAACAGAACAGTCCCCTGCATCACTGTGAGTCAGAAGGTCATTAGAGACCCTAAGAAGAGCTGTTTCAGTAGAATGAGCTCTAAAAAACCTGACTGGAAGCAATCATAGAGCGAAAGTGGGCCATCCCTTTATTAACTCCACACTAATCACACATTGTTGTCACCTGTGGACACACATTCTAACATCAGCATATGTACCCACAGGAAACCTATTATTATTAAAAACGCTAAAACATATGGCCTGTATCAGAGCTACATGTGAGAAGTTTTCAGGGCAAAAAACCGCATCAAAATCAGTTGAGAATTCAAGGAGTTATGGTTGATTTAACTTGCTGACACTCCTCGGTCGGGGGGGGGGGCTTGACCGGTCCAAGATGGCGGCGCCATCACTCGTCAGTACCCATAGGCAGTAGCGGTAGCGGTCACGCGGGGTCTATCTATGTCTGTACCTGTCATAATTCTGCACACTTGTGTACCGTTCTACACAGTCGAAGTTTACAGCGCACTTTCTCCAAGTGAACTTAGCTGAAGAGCGCAGTGCGAGTGATGGGATGATTGGGAATTTTTGAAACTTGCGCTGACGACGGAAGCCGCGCAGCGACAGACTTGCCCACTCAAAGATGGCGGACTACAACAAGGGTAAGAAACTGGTTTGTTCCGTCACGACCACAAGATGTATGAGATCAGACATGAGGCGTGTTTGATCACCTGAGTCGGAAAGTCGTGAATCTTACGCTCTCTGTCCGCTTAGCCGTTAGCTCCTGTCGCTAGTTGTTACGTTGGCCCGATAACTTTACAGAGGTCACAAAACAGCCGCAAACTAAGCTGCGCCTGCGTAGTTCTTCTACCTGTAAGGTCAGGTGTAAACAGTTGATGAGTGAACTAACCGTCTTCACTCGGTAACACCAGCTTGTCCCGAAATGCGCAACATTGTCGAAAATCCCGCAAACTGCGGAGGATACCATTAGCTGTTGTATCAGCGTGGACACGTCCGGGTTTCTACTGAAAAAGTTTCGTTTTTCACTAGAAAATACTCATTTACGTTTGTGATACCAATGCTTTACTGAGTAATTCTGCATCATTGTTGTGTTGTTTTGGTTAAAAAAGCAGCAGTGTGGCCTTTTAAAGATGTGTTATTACTTCGAATAACACATGTTATAAACTCATTTATCTGCCCATAAACCATCATTTTATCAACAAGCTGCCTCCAATCACATGGCCTTCCCACAACAGCGTTGCACATCTCAGCAGACATGCTTTTTACCTCTGTTTGTACAACACATGCTAACTGTTGATGTCCCCCCAGAGCTGGGAGAGGAGATTTACGACAAAGTGGTGGATCTGACCCAATACGCCAAGCAGCAGCGATGGTGGAGCCGAGTTTTCGGTAAAAACTCCGGGCCTGTAGCAGAGAAGTACTCCGTGGCCTCGCAGATCGCCATCGGCGGAGTGAGCGGATGGTAAACACCAGATCTGATGTAGTCTAATCCAAACCACTGTCAGAGCTCTGCCTCTGTTATCGTCACACATGTTCAGTCAGGCTGCTCCCAACTATGGTTGGCCGATGGTCGAATTTTTCGACCATCAGCCATAGGCTGAGCCGTTCTGGTTGTTCTTACAAGAGGTGATTTATTTGTTTGTTTGTTTGTTTGCTCTTGACAGGGTTCCCACAGGGTCTTAAAAAGGCTAAAAAGGTCTAAATTTCATAAATTAGAATTAAATGCCTTAAAAATACCTGTAATTTCATCCAGACGTCTTAAAATTTATTAGGCAAGACAGCTTAGAGCACATTTCAAACACGAGCAATTCAATGTGCTTTACATAGCATTAAATGGCACAACAACAAACACGAGAACACACGTTAAAATATATACACATAAAATTATAATTTAGAGCTAAAAGGAAAAGACAGAATTTTGGTTGAGCAGTTCCATCACGGACTACAGTGGAGATGATGCATGATAAATAATTCATGTAAAGGCAGATGAGTACATGAGGGTTTTACTTTTGTTTTAAACTACACTAGGGTTGGAGCAGATCTGAGGTCATGGGGAAGCTGATTCCATATGTGAGCAGCAGAGTAACTAAATGCATCTCCACCGTGTTTGGTTCTGACCCGAGGTTCTACCAGCTGATAGTTACCTAAGGATCTCAGAGCCCTGTTGGGTGTTTATACAGGAATGAGATTGGACGTGTATTTTGGTCCCATGCCATTGAGTGATTTATAAACTAGTAGGATCATTTTGAAATCCATTCTGTAGTTTACTGTTAACCAGTGTAGAGATCTAAGAACAGGAGTGATGTGCTCCGTTCTCCTAGTTCTTGTTAAGACTCTAGCAGCAGCATTCTGAACAAGCTGCAGTTGCTTCACAGCTTTTGGGAAGACCAGTTAGGAGACCATTGCAGTAGTCCAGCCGACTAGAAATAGAAGCATGAATGAGTTTCTCTAAGTCTGGTCTGGACATGAGTAGGGTTGGGCATCGCTTGATTTTGAACAATTCCAATTCCTCGTTTCGATTCCGGTTCCTATCGATTCCCAATTCCGATTCTTTGAAGACATGTTTTACATGAGCCAGCTAACCACAGGTCCTACTTGATGAAATTATCTTAACTTCAACATGAATTTTAACCCTATGAACAACAACATCACCTTCATTTAGACAAAAACATATTTTGGAGAAAAAAACAAAAAGACTTGCAGCACAACCAGTGTGTTTGTTTCTGACCACAACCAAAGTCTGGAAGAAGCCTCTGGGATGAGAGGCTAAATGTCTCCAACATATCCAGAAACGTCCAGCTGTTTTCAGCTAAAACTCTCAGGATGATCATGTTCAGGATGACTGAGAACTACACCTCCATGCTGCAGCAGCATTCAGTCAGAACAGGAAGTGAAACTTAAATGTAGCTGCTGTCAGTAACAATCTAACATATTTTAAACATTAAAACTCAACAGAAATAGTTCAGAAAGGAAATTAAAAAATGTTATTAATTATTATTATAGTTATTTAATGTCGCAGAAGCTTATGTGGTCCACCACAGAGAAGCTGCTCTAGCTCCGTGTGTTTTTTTTTTTTTTTTTTTTTGCAGTGAGACACACTCACCTCACAACGTCCAGAGTTTGTTCTTTAAAGCTTCTATTAAATCCACCGTGTTGATGTATTTAACAAGTTTCCTCTACGCTGCAGGAGTTAAAGTTTACGTCACGGAGTAAAAGTTCGGCAGACGTGTTTGTTTGTATCTGGGTGGGGGGAGGGGAGACTCGTGCTGCACACAGACAGCTGGTGTGATCAGCTCTGGAAAGCATTGATCACAATTTGCAGATCATGTTTACGGAGATCGGCCGCGGATTCCTCAAAGTCATTAAGGTTAGATCTAGCATTTCTCCTTCAGCCTTATCGCTGCCTCTCCCGACTCCAACCAGGCCCATCATCCTAGATAGCTTTGCTCCTGTTTCTTTGCCTGAGTTAACCAAACTAGTTAACTCTATGAAGACCTCTGCATGCCCCCTCAACATCATACCCTAATCTTTGTTTAAAAGTGCTTTTCAGTCCATCGGTCCCAGCGTGCTCTCTATAATTAATGCTTCTCTGGTTTCTGGTCAGGTCCCTGCTTACTTTAAGAACGCTGTAATCCACCCGCTTCTTAAAAAACCGAGTCTTGACCCCTCTCTCCATAGCAGCTTCAGACCCATCTCTAAACTTCCATTCATCTCCAAGATCTTGGAAAAGGTTGTGGCTAAACAACTCACAGCTGCTCTTGATGAACATAACATCTATGATAGCTTCCAGTCAGGTTTTCGTAGAGCTCATTCTACTGAAACAGCTCTTCTTAGGGTCTCTAATGACCTTCTGAATCACAGTGTTGCAGGGGACTGTTCTGTTCTGGTCCTGCTGGACCTGACTGCAGCCTTTGACACTGTTGACCATCACCTGCTACTGGAGAGGCTCAGAGACTGGGTAGGCCTATCAGGATCTGCTCTGGAGTGGTTCCCCTCTTATCTCTCTGAGCGCTCCTTTTCTGTGGCCATCTCCAAGTTTAGGTCCTCCACCACCTCCCTTACCCTTGGTGTCCCACAAGGTTCTGTGCTGGGGCTCCTACTGTTCCTCCTTTATATGCTCCCTCTCCATCAAATGACTTTTTTTTAATGAGTCTCCTACCATCTTTATGCAGATGACATCCAAATGTACATCTCCTTTAAGCCCCATGAGATGTCTAAGCTGCAGCTGTTACACACCTGCTTAGACTCTATCAAAACTTGGATGGCTGGGAGCTTTCTACAGCTGAATGAATATAAGACTGAGATCCTCATCTGTGCCCCACACAAGCCTTTTCTCAAAGTCAGAGACTCTCTTTGTCAGCTTGCTTCCCACACCAAACCCTCCGTCAGGAATCTTGGTGTGATCTTTGACCCAGCTCTCACCCTGGATTCTCATGTCAGTGCTCTTGTTGGCTCTTCCTTCTTCCATCTCAAGAACGTTGCTAAGCTGAGTCCCATTCTGTCCTGCTCTGAACTTGAGACAGTTATCCACTCCTTCATCTCCTCACGCTTAATCTGGGCGAACACTGTGCGACTTTCTCACTTGTAGCACTCAGTTTCAGCTCAAATTGTACAACTTCCTCGCAGGGCAGATCTCACGAGTCGTGCTCACACTGTACGACCCAGTTCTCAGATGCGACCTGACTGCTCACACTGTACGTCTGGTAGCAACACATCGGACCTAAAAATATGCTAAAAATAGCAGTTTTTACACAACACGTCTTGTCTTGTTTTGCCTGTTGTCCTTTGGGAGTGCTGCAGGAGGACACACAGGGATTTATGGAGGTTGGATGAGGAAAACGAAATAAAGAAAGTAAATCTGTGTTTTGTGATCAGTTTAATTTGACATGAACACGACAAACACACTTTCTTGACAATCCTTGTCACTGTGTGTAAAAAAAAATGTTTGGAAATAAACACGAACAACGTTATAGGGAAATAGCGGGTGAGCGGTGTTGATGCATGATTGCGCTTGCGCCGTGAGCGGTTCTGGTACTTTTTGGGTTGCAGCCGCTCGCTGTGCCGCTTCAACCCTCACGAGGAACGAGCAAAATATCAAACACTCCAGAAGTCCGTGTGAGCTCACGATTGCTGATCGGTAGCTGGTCACGTGGTGTTAATCTCCTCTCGTAACCTCCTGTATACTACATGATACTCAGCGCAAAACTCGCCCCGATCTTGTGTATTCTTGCACAAGTGGAAAATTGGCTCGAAAAAGTCGCACAGTGCGGTAAACCCCTGTAAAAAAAGTTGACAATAATAATAATCGTCTTGTTTTTAAAAAAACTATAATATCTCGGTGGATTACCGTGGCTGCGGTGTAGGCGCGGTGACCCTTACCAGCCACCGTATCATCTGCTGAAGTTGCCGACGGCACATGCGCACTTTGATGTTTACAACCAAAACTTTCTTGAAGCTAAAGCTGAAATAATGGCCAAAGGAGGAGATGGCAGTGTGCAGGACATTTATTATCCCTCAAAGAAGACAAAGTGGGAAGTACGGAAATTTTTTGGATATTTGAAGAATGCCAAGGGACAGTTGATAGAAGACGGCTATCCTGTTTGCAGCACGTGCAGAAAAAGTGTCTGTGAAAGGCAGCAACGCTTCAAATCTCATGACACATCTGCGTGACCATCACCCACAACTCTACAGTCAATGCAAGGCAAGCTAACGTTAGCGTTTTAGCTAAAATGCGTGATCCGAGGATTTGGGTTGAGGGAGAATGTAACGAGTCGCCATATAAAGCAGCCGCAGCGCCGCTACCTGCATATAAACCGTGTAGCTGACACCCCCATGTTGAAATGACGCTATGCATTATGGGGCTCCCAGGGTCAGATAAGAGTTGGTCTCTCTCCGAGAATAATTATAAATTTAACAATGATTATTGCCTGATGACATTTTCCCAAATCTGCAAAGCTCACTGGAAGGACACAAACCGAGGACAATATTTTCCTGATATAGGGTTTATTACTCAAGTAAGGGTAAAAAAGTATCTGATTAGAAGGCTACTTGAGAACTCAGTATCATCTGATCTAATATTTTTTAAATGATGACATCAATTAGACAAAAAATAAGAAGTTATGGGCAAATATTGGTATTTTAAAGACTAAAGGGGGAAAATGTAAACAAATAAACAACATAATTACAAAATAACAAATTGTAGGCAAAATTTAGACACAAACTGAGGACAATATTTTCCTGATATACAGGGTTTATTTAGTTTCCTGAAAATTTAACATGTTTAAAAAAAATACCGCGATAATACCGAAAACCGTGATAATTTTGGTCCCAATAACCGTGAGGTTAATTTTTCACATTGTGACAACCCTACTGTAACTCTCTTTTCACGTGTCTGAGCAGAACCTCCCTGAACCGTCTACAGGTGGTTCAGAATGCCTGTGCTCGGCTTCTGACCAAGTCCTCCAAACACACCCACATCACCCCGCTTCTCCTCCAGCTTCACTGGCTGCCAGTCAACTTCAGGGTTCATTTCTAGATCCTGGTTCTGGTCTATAGGGCCTTACATGGACAAGCACCATCTTACATTGGTGATCTTCTTAGTCCCTACACCCCCAGCAGGTCCCTGAGGTCCAGTGATCAAAGCCTACTGGTTGTGCAGCACCAGGCTAAAGACCAAACGTGACAGATCATTTGCTGCTGTGGCCCCCAGACTCTGGAACTCTCTCCCCCTGAGCCTGAGATCAGTGGACTCAGTGGTCTCCTTTAAAAAGCAGCTGAAGACTCACCTGTTCAAGCTGGCTTTTGGATGACCTTCACCACTCTCTCTTTGTTCTGTTCTCCCCACCTATTCCACCTTCCTCAGGATCCACTGATTTCCCTCTTTCCTGTTCACTCTCTCTCTTTCTTAACATTTTTTAATCACAATTGTCTATTTTTTGCTCATTTTAAATATATTTTTATCCATCCATTTTCTGAACCCACTTGTCCACGTGGGGGTGGGGGGCTGGTGCCTGTCTCCAGCGGTCAATGGGCAGTCAGGCGAGGTACACCTTGGACAGAGAGCCAGTCCATCGCAGGGCAACACAGAGACGCACAGGACAAACGATCATGCACACACACACCTAAGGACAATTTAGACAGACCAATCAACCTAACAGTCATGGTTTTTGGACTGTGGGAGGAAGCCAGAGTAGCCGAAGAGAACCCATGCATGCACAGGGAGAACATGCAAACTCCTTGCAGAAAGATCCCAGGCCGGGAAGCGAACCGAGGACCTTCTTGCTGCAAGGCAACAGCTCTAACTACTGTGCAGCCCAATATATTTTTAACCATTTTCTAAATTCTTTTTTATATTTTTACATTTTTTGTTTTTGTGAAGCGCCTCATGATTTTTATCTTGAGAGGCGCTATAGAAAAGATATTTTCTTCTTCTTCTTCCAGTCGGCATGCTAGGAATCAAAATTAGGAATCGAAATAAAAAACTTTGAACGATTCCGGGAAAAACTAACAGTTGCAACCGGTTCCAATCGATGCTCGATGCCCAACCCTAGACATGAGACCTCTGACTCTTGATACTTGATGATTTAGTTATAGCCTTTTTACATCTTTGGTGTGTTCTTGCTGTGTTGAGTTTCAAATTCCATCTTTCAGTTAATTTTAAAACACAGAAAATTTTTATTTACCTGCAACGTTTCGTTTGCGGCTGCAAACATCAACAGGCTGTGTTTTAAAAAGAACTGAAAAATGGAATTAGTTAAAGCCTTAATATGTCCAGAGAAGTTCAGGTTGGAGTCAGTGATAACACCAAGATTTCTAACCTGGTTCTTTGTCTTTATTTCCCTGGAGTTCAGCTGGGCAATAACATCTATTCTATCCTTCTTGTTGCCAAAGACAACAACTTCAGTCTTGTCTTTGTTTAGCTGAAGGACGTTTGAGTGCATCCAGTCGTTTACTTGTTCTAGGCACTGACAGAGTGAATCCAGGGGACGACAGTTACTAGTTGATAGGGCTAGGTAGATCTGGGTGTCATCAGCATAGCTATGATAGGCAATGTTGTTATTAAGTAATACCTGACCCAGGGGGAACATATAGAGATTAAAGAGTAGTGTTTTTAGAATTGAGCCATGGGGGACCCCACATGTCATGGTGATCTGCTTTGATTGGTAGTCCCTAATAGAGACAACATAGCCCCTGTCTTTGAGCTGAAGAAGAAGAAAGAAGAAAGTATCGTTTCTATAGCGCCTCTCAAGATAAAAATCACGAGACGCTTAAGCTCAGGCAAAGAAACAGGAGCAAAGCTATCTAGGATGATGGGCCTGGTTGGAGTTGGGAGAGGCAGCGATAAGGCTGAAGGAGAGATGCTAGATCTAACCTTATTGACTTTGTCCACAAAGAAAGACAGAAAGTTCTCACAGTTTGTAACAGAGTGGATGGAGGCTGTAGGAGAGGCAGGAGAGACGATGCTGCTGATGGTGTTAAACAGCACCTTGGGGTTCCCTTTGCTCTGGGACACCAGGTTGGAGAAATAGGAACTCCTCGCGTCTCTGACTGCAGAGTTAAAGGATGTCAGAAGATCCTTTTGGTGCAGCAGATGGACGTGGAGATGGGTTTTCTTCCACAAGTGCTCAAATTTTCTGCATTGGTGCTTTAGGCTGCGAAGGCTGTCATTAAACCAGGGAGTAGGGTTCACTGCAAGAACTGATCTGGTTGTGACAGGACAGATGTTGTCCAGAATGGAGAGGCAGTGCTCGTTGAACTGAGAAGTTAAGGAATCTGGGTCATTATCAAAAGAACAGGGTGGATCAAAAGCAGCAAGAAAATTGCTAGCTGTGCTCTCATTAAGAAAACGAGAACTAACCACACGGCGAGCAGGAGGTTGGGACGCAGAAACTGACAAGATAAAGAAAATGCAATGGTGATCTGAAATATAAACGTCCTCAGGACAAACACTGTCAGAATTTAGACTCAGGGTAAAAACAAGGTCTACAGTGTGCCCCCTGGTGTGTGTGGGTGCGCAGGTCGGGACAGTCGTTTGGCTCCGGGCCAGTGCGCCACTCAGCTAAACAAACAGGATGGTACGTCCTCGGTGCGTCTTGGGCGATCGCGAACGAACGGAAGGACAAAAGAGTCTGGCGATCATAGGAGATGGTAGCAGGGGCACTACTGAAGAGGATCGCAGACAGGAGCAAGGTGGAAAAGAGGAGTTTAGTGGTGAAAAGTTTGAAAAAGTGGCCGGTGACTGCGGCTAAGCCAAGCACAGGCGCCATCTTGTTACTGACCGGAGAACATCCCCAACTAAGATGGGACTGGAACCAGCCTAGTACTGTGCCTGATAGTCCCACCCAGTTTGTGAGTATGTCCAGAAGGATGTTGTGGTCCACAACATCAAAAGCTGCACTGAGGTCATGCGTCATCAGGACAGATGCTTTACTTGATTCCGTGTTGAGACGAAAGCGTTTAATACCTTGATCAGTGCAGTCTCTGTGCTGTGGTGTTGTCTAAAGCCTGACTGAAGACTGTCCATGATGTTATTTGACTCTAAATTGTTGTTCATATGATCATTACCGCCTCTTCAATGATTTTTTCACCAGAGAGAGATTAGAGATCGGTCGGTAGTTGTTCAACACTGAGGGATCTAGTTTCCTCTACTTTAGAAAAGTGTCACAGCAGCAGTTTTCAGTGGTTTAGGAAACAGACCTGATGTTAAAGAGCAGTTAACAATGTCCAGTATGTCAGCTTTCAGGCAACTAAAAACATTTTAAAGGTTGTAGTCAGGCTGTCCAGACAGCAGGTAGAGGAATGTGGAGTCTTTACTATGTCATTCAGTGTTTTAGTACTGATCAGGCTGAAAGTTGGCATTCTGGCCAGGTTTATGTTTATGTTTATGTATTTAGCAGACGCTTTTGTCCAAAGCGACTTACAAGTGATAATCAGCATTTTGCCCTTGAGGCTAACAACAACAATAACAACAACAATCATTGACGTCAGTCATGGAGAGGAGGGAACAAGGAGTGGACAGTAGAGAGGGGGGGACGGGTGCAGGGAGGGTGCTAGTTTAGAAGATGCTCTCTGAAGAGCAGAGTCTTCAGGAGTTTCTTGAAAATTGAAAAGGAAGCCGCAGTTCTGGTAGTGCTTGGAAGGTCATTCCACATTTGTGGAACGATGCATGAGAAGAGTCTGGATTGTCCTGAGCGAGGTGTAGGTACTGCTAGCCGACGATCCTGTGATGACTGGAGCGGCCGGGCCGAGACGTAAGCCTTTGCAAGAGGATTCAGGTAGATGGGAGCCATACCATCTCGTACTTTGTATGCTAGTGTTAGCAATTTGAATTTTATGCGTGCTGCTAGCGGTAGCCAGTGGAGCTCAATGAACAGAGGGGTGACGTGTGCTCTTTTAGGCTGATTGAAGACCAGACGCGCCGCTGCGTTCTGGACCATTTGAAGAGGTCTCACAGTACAGCCTGGACAGGTTGTTGCTGTGTGGCGGTGGCGGTGGTCTGGTTGTGTTGGTTTAGAGGAATGAATGGCTAATGTAATGTTTGTGATTTTTTTCATTGAAGAAAGATGCAAACTCATCACATCTGGTCTGAGATATGAAGTCTGGGGCTAACTGTGCTGGAAGATTAGTTAGCCTCTAGGCAGTAACACACAGAACATGGGAACTGTTAATATTATGATTGCTGACTTTTGAGAAAAAATGATCTACCTGCAATAATTCATGGTGATCAATAGTTTCTGATCATTGTTCCTGCTTCTGAGTACTTAAAGACTTTTAAGTCTGTTCTGATTGCTTGTACATGTTATATATGAGAACAGTCCTTTGTCTTTATGTCCACCTGTTTTATCAGATTTTATCTTGTATGTTTTTATCTTACCTGTTGTTCTTTGGTGTAAAGCACTATGCTGCTGCCTCTTGGCCAGATCGTTGTTGGAAATGAGAATGAGTTCTCAGTCCACGCATCTGGATGAATAAAGGTTAAATAAAAATAAATAATTTCTAAGCATTGCAATTGCTTTATTTTTCCTTTCAGGTCTGTCCGAGCTTGTCCGGACATCCTTTCAGAACGCCATCTTAACTCAGTCCTACATGACAACAGTTTAAAAAGAGCACCAACTTTCTACTTCTAGTTATTTAGACTTTCTGACCGTTTGTGATTGGTTTCAGGTGTGCAGGGTATCTATTCCAGAAGGTTGGAAAGGTTGCGGCTACAGCTGTAGGTGGAGGCCTTCTGCTGCTGCAAGTAGGTCTGCGCCATTTCTTCTCAACTTCCATGAACCAGTCCGATTTACAACATTAATCATTCACTCTCTGTCTTCCCAGATAGCCAACAACAGTGGTTACATCCAGGTGGACTGGAAGAGGGTAGAGAAGGACGTCAACAAAGCTAAGAAGCAGATACAGAAGGGAACCAACCAGGCTGCTCCAGAGTTAAACACCTTTGTTGAAAAGGTATCCTCCTATTTTATCAAGAAGAAGCTGAAATCAATCTGTAGAGATCAGGGCTGGACTGGGACAAAAATTCAGCCCGGGCATTTTGACTGGAGACCGGCCCATCACCTGTTTTTTTTTGGAAAAGACATTAAGCCTTACGCTGTTTCTGACACACACCAACGTACACTTTCTTATTGGTAGTATTTATGTATCAATCTAATAAACGTAAACCTACACCATCCTTCCTATCCTGGTATTCTAAAAAGTAGGGTTGGGGGTAACTGATTATTTTTAAAATGATTATTCTGACGATTATTTTATCGAATAGTCGACTATTCTAATGACTATTTAGATGATTAATCTAGCGATTACTTTTCTATTGCACAATTACTAAAAACCAAAAAATTCTCAAATAAATTCCTCCAAAAAATTGATAAGTTGTTACTGTAAGAGAATAAACACTACAGGCCTTCCATTTTGTATAACACTGCTTTTATTGTGTTGCGGTTGTTTATGTTCTGGTGACGTGTAGAACTTGGGAGTGCAGGCTGCTGCCTGAGAGGTGGTTGGAGACGGAGTGTCTCCATGCTGCTTTGTTTTGTTCACTTATGTGCATGAGGCAAGTGGTGTTACCACCCTTCCTGGGGAGTCACGTGTTTCTCCTATTTTAACTGTAAATCCTTCTAGCTGTTATATTTATAACAAGAAACAGATATTCGGACGGAATATTTTCACGTTTATTCGAATATGATTGTGGAACACACCCAGCATCATAATAAATGAAGTAATATTTATGCCAATTTAAGCCTTTATGGGTGACCAGGACTCTGTGTTTATGAATGTGGAAGACACCCAGCATCCTGTGATGGCACTGATAACATCAAGAGATAATAAATAAGGTAATATTTAGGTCAATTTAACCCTTTACACGTGACCAGGACACTGTAATCAATTTTTGGCAAAAGAAATGATCATTTGTTGCCATTTTTGAGGTGTTTATGAATGTGAAAGACACCCAGCATCCTGTGATGGCACTAATAACATCAAGAGATAATAAAAAAAGTAATATTTAGGTAAATGTAACCCTTTACAGGTGACCAGGACACTGTAATCAATTTTTGGCAAGGGAAATTATCTTTTCTTTTTTTTTTTTTTTTTTTTTTTTTTTTTTTTTTTTTTTTTTTTGCCATTTTTGGGGTGTTTTTGATGATACAGTAGGCAGTATGAGTACAGTAACATCAACAGATAATACATAAAACCCTTATTTGGTCAGTTTTAGCCTCCATGAAAATCTTAGCGATTCAATCACTTTTTGGCAAGTAAAATGCCATTTTAGTTGTCTACAATTAAATCATCAATAAAGAATTTAAAGATATTTTGAGGCATTTCTTATAGGTAAACGGGAGGGTGTAGTCTATTTGGCAAGTGACAATCTTAATTTTATGTGCTGAAGTGCCTTTATCTTGTTACTTTTAAATAGAGCAACGTAATGAATAGCAACCTACACAGTGTCATTGTAAAGCCAAAGCTTGATCATTTTAAATACTTTTTTTCAAGTAAAAATGTGCCCCAAACTAGTTAACTGTGGCTCCATGTCAAGTGGACTAAAGAAAGGAAGGGGAAAAAATTAAATCGCTGGAGAATTGTTTATTTCCATTTATACAACGTTTACATTCAATACAGGGTGCCATTTTACATTGTTTATTTATTTTTTTAGTATCAAGGCTGTAACATAAAGAAAGCCAGTTCTTACCACAAAGTTTGTGGCACAAACCATCTTTCAATCGCAAATATTGCAAAAAGGATTCATATATCCTCATTGTGAACGTTTAAGACAATTAGCAACACTTAAAACAACTTCCGAACTGGAAAAACTAATGTGGCAAGGTGCAGAAAGGAGTGCCCGGGCGGGATTCGAGCCCCAGACTCCCGGGTGAGAGTCATACGCTCTAACCAGTCAGCCAAAGGGACATCTTCTTGGCCAAGTAGCCAGGGCGCATGATCAATCGGGACATTGTGGATGCTCACCACACTGCCACATCTTCCTCCCTCTTTCCACAAGCACGTCCTCGTGCTCCCGCGCAGGGTGCCACAAACACTGCCACACTAATATCCGCGATAAACATCTGTTTAAAGAGCAAGTAACGTCTAAATTAACTTTTTTTTGCTGATGAACTGTATAAATGAGTGTCTAATAGTGTTTTAAATGTGTGTATTCATTATTTTAGCATTTTGGTGCATTTTCTTTAAAAATTAATTTTTCAGCCTAAAAACCACAGTAATGCGCCACCTTCAGCTTAAAACACAGAATTTGACACATTTTGAATAAATTTTAGCCAATGGCTAAAGAGTAAGATACTACGTAAACCAGTAGAGTACTACGTAGCAGCTCTTGTGCCAAAGTTATAAAGCAACGAGAGTCTCGGCCACGCCCTGTGGCGAGTTGGGAGTTGGATTTGCAAGTGAGTGTAGGACGGTTAGCGGTAGTTCAGCATTAGCATATATCATTAGCATATTCTAGTCTTTAGCATAGCTTTTAGTGTTATACATACTTATTTAGTGTTAGCTTGGCTGTTAGATATTGTAGTTTAGTTAGTGTTTAGCTGTTAGTTTTATTAGGAAAGTAATTCAGGTTTAGTGTTCCATATCGTTAGCATATATCATTAGCATATTCTAGTCTTTAGCATAGCTTTTAGTGTTATACATACTTATTTAGTGTTAGCTTGGCTGTTAGATATTGTAGTTTAGTTAGTGTTTAGCTGTTAGTTTTATTAGGAAAGTAATTCAGGTTTAGTGTTCCATATCGTGTTAGTATGGTTAAAAGGTGTAGTGTAGTTGGTTGTGGTGGCTCTGTGGGGTTGCACTCCTTTCCACTGGACTTAGAAATTAGGCGCCAGTGGTTGCGCGCAATCGGTGTACTGGAAAACAGTCAGCTCCCGCCTGGTGCTGTAGTCTGCAACCAGCATTTTACCCGCGATTCCTTCGCCAACATGATGGAGTTTGAACTGGGTTATTCTGCACGTCTCCGTTTGAAGAGGGAGGCCGTGCCCACCGTGGCTCTTCCACGAATTAGATGCAGCCCACCGACTCTGCTCCCCCACCATGGCGGGCTCCAGTCTGAGGTGAGTAAGCTAAATAAAAGTTAACATCTTCTAAAGACAATTTCCTACCTAAATGCAAAGTTTGAGAGACGTGGTTCACTCCATTTAGCTAATATCAGCCTGCACTGCCTTCGGGCTAATTTGTCAAGTTCACAAAATGTGGAACGGGATGTAAGGTTAGAATCAGCGGCGAATCGGAACATTTCTCAAAGCCCTGGCCGACAAAAAAGGTCCACTTGACTATTTCTGTCAGGCTCGGAGAAAATTCGGGTTGTTTTTGTGTCAGTCGGTAATTCAGCAACAGTGGCTCTAACGCAGCACTAGTTTACAGACATCATTACAGCGTGAAATCCAGCTTTACACCAAAGCCTAACCCGGTTCTGTGAGGAATTCTGTTCAGGAGGTCGCATTTCAGGTTCTTCACATCATATGTGACTGACTTTGACGTTATAATAACGATCACACACTAGGAATGTTATAAAGCGCCTATATATATATATATATATATATATATATATATATATATATATATACATATATATATATATATATTGGACAGTTTCTTTTGTATATTATATGACTTTATAAACTCCAACAACAATGTGCTTCTATTTTTTGTTTCAGGCTAAATCTACCCAAGACGTTGGCTGTCAGACTGATTTAGTAATCTGCAAAAATGCACTTGTCCAGGCTCATGTAAAGCCTTATCGACGTAGCAAAGGTGAATTATTTTTAATAATCTTCTATGTAAACATTTTATTATTACCTTCTAGTTTTAATTTGTTTTACAGATTATTGTTACACGTGATTTTATGCTATTTTAAACATTTATAAATGTGCTGCTTCTTTGTATTTTACATAGCCACACAGTTTAGAGCTCCCAGCCGCAGTGTGTCTTGTGACACAGGGACCGTGACGGAAATTCATCTTCCACAAAGTCCCAGAGCTGCGTCCACACCCCTGAAAAGACCACGATATGAGGTGTCTGTTGTTGATCCCAGCTTCCACCTCAATGACAGTGCAAGCTCAGTGAACTGTTCAAGGTAAAAAAAAATTATAACATTTTAGAATTTTTTAGTTATGACCATATATATAAATGTATGTGTTCTATACAGCTCTTTCACTGAGGTCCATCCACAAAAGGACAAGAAGTACATTGTTTATGAGAAACAGTTGCTGGGGCTGTTCAGAAGGTGTCCCGTTTGTACCGGTCGTTGTGTTGTGAACACGACAACAGTCGGCACACTGCTCCGTGTGACACAACAGTGTTCATGCTGTGAGCACTACAATGAGTGGTCCAGTCAGCCCATGGTGAACAGCATCCCAGCAGGAAACCTCCAGCTCTGTGCTGCTGTCCTTTTCACAGGATCATCATTTAGCCAGATTTCTAAGGTATAGGCCAAAACTGTTTAGGTTAGTTTTGATAAGGTCTGTGCGTCTCTCATTTCATGACGTAACTTTTCATATTTTAGTTCCTGGGTGCCTTCAATGTGCAGGGACTGTCCAAGCAGTCATTCTGTCGGCATCAGGCAAAGCTCTTAATTCCAACAGTGAGCTGGCAGTGGCAGCTAGAGCAAGCTGATATCATCCAGGAGGCTACTGAATCTGGACCTGTGACTCTTGGTGGTGACATGCGAGCTGATTCACCTGGTGAATACTTTTAAATTTATTTATTTTATTCCTTTGCTATCAAATGTAAATTAAGTAATAACTTGCATTTCTTGAAGGACACTCAGCCAAATATGGCAGCTACACCATGATGGATCTCAAAAGAAACAAAGTTATTGATATCCAACTTGTACAGGTACAACATTACCTGATGATTCCAAAACATTTCATGGTTAATTATTCACAGATCAATGGAGAATTATGTTTATTTTCAGAGCAATGAAGTTGGGAATAGTGTGCGAATGGAGAAGGAGGGATTTGTGAGAAGTCTGAGCACACTTTTGGAGAGGGGGGTCGATGTGCAGCAAGTCGTGACTGACCGCCACACAGGAGTGCAGAAGTATTTGAGGGAGGAAAAAAAGGAAATCAGTCACTACTTTGACCCCTGGCACATGGGAAAAGGTAATCTTTGGGGATGTATATAGTGAATATTACAGGATTTTTTTTTCTATTTTAAATGTGGGTCTATTTGGCTCTCCAGGAATTGGTAAGAAAATCGAAGAGCTGGGGAAGAGAAAGACGACCCAGGATGTGAGACTGTGGAAGCAAAGTGTGGTGAACCACCTCTACTGGTCAGCATCCAGTTCCTCCTCAGGACAGGAGGCAGTTGCAAAGTGGACTTCAGTTGCCAACCACATCCAAAATGTGCACAGCCATGACAACGCCCTGTTCCCTAGCTGTCTGCATGCACCTCTGGATGGAGAACAGGCAAGACAGTGGCTCAAACCAAGTAAGTGTAGCATGTACTCATTACAGCTGAGCCTTTACTGTTTGGTTTCTTTACATTTAAAACACGTCACCCCACAACAGAATATTTGTCTTCACCTCCTTCAACATGGAGAAATATTTTTTGAGCATGTGTGTAACAGACATCACATGTGGCTGCTAAGGTCACACACCACCATTTGGCCAACAGCAATTAATTACTAAGAATAAAATGCTGTGCAGAAATTTAACCACAAGAGTGCGCCACACAACTCATGGTTTTAGGCAGAACAGCCATAATTGACATAATATGTACTAAAATGCCGTAAGTAATGACCACACCTGTCTACAGCACTATTAGTCACTCTTTCATACATTTGTCATCTAAAAATGTCAGCTATGGGTAACTTTTTCTCAATGGAAATAATAGCAACATTCTAAAGTTGATCAAATTGTAATTTTTGTAATTAACATTTTCTACGTAGGCACAGCATCATGTGAGAAGCTCACTGCCATTCTGTTAGCTCCACGGTTTGTGAAGGACGTAGAGAAGATAAGCCCTCAGTACCACACATCCACCTTGGAGGCTTTCCACAGTCTCATCATCAGATTTACTCCAAAAAGTCAAGTCTTCTCCTTCAAAGGAATGCTGTCTAGGTAATGAATACAAGAAATGTTCAAATTAATGCCTCTAATTGTTCAAATTTTAGCATGAAATGTAGAATTTTGCCTCAAATCTACATGGTTTGTTTATTTGATTATTTCAGATTACAAATTGCTGCAATGCACTACAATGAAAATGCAGCACGCTCACATGCAGCAACAGCAACTGGTGAGCTGAGATATGCTGTAGTGTACCCAAAGTACAAACATGGAGACTACACAGTGAGAGCCCTGAAGACCAATCCAACCTCATGTATGTCATATATTGTATGATAAAACCAAAATGATGGTCATGGAGAGCTATTGTAATACTGAAAACCCTTTTCCAGTATATGTGCACAAGCTTATGGACCTGCTGTTCGACTCTGTGGTGGTGGATCCTCTCCCATATCAGGAGTACTCGGACAAAATTACGGTTCCAGAACCGCTCTGTGCCCAGTTCCAAAGACCAGATAAACGGGATGCTGTGAGCAGGCACAGGTCCAGGTTTTAAAGTGCACGTCAGGTGAGCTACACAGGAGATTGTAATTATTAGTTAGTACTCTACTCTGTGTGGTTTCTCCTTTTCTCCTCCTCAGCCAGGCTGCACACCACTGTACGACAGAGGAGTTACCTGTCGTCATTATGGATCTTTATGCTCATCCACTCGTGACTCATGCTGTCCACCTCCCAGATGTCTATTGATCTCTACAACCTTTCTGCTCTGTGGCTCCCATACAACTTGAAAATCTTGGCCGTATGTAACATAGCAAAACTCACCAGTCTTGCTTTTGTAAGTCATACTAATATTACTTTTTCCTTAGAGCCTCCTGATCTTGTAACAGAAAAACCTGTGCTCCCGGGATCCATCTCCACGTTTGTCATCACAGTGAAAGCTACCTCCAGTCTAAGGAACCTATGAAACATCACTGATGGCCCAACCTCTCCTCACATGGCTCCAGAATCTCTGCTTGTGGTTTAGAGTTTTGTCAAAAATCTTGAAAGTTATGATCAGATTGTTATCTAACATTGTCTTAGTAGTAGCTATAATAAATGTTATCTTTAAAGCGCAATTGTGTCTTTTTAAATACAATTATATTGATATTTTGATGTGTATAAATACATATATCACATTTATTATCATTCATTTTTACCTAATTGAACCTGCTCTAGAATAGACTTCATTAATCACACAGGGTGTAAACTCACTTGTTACAGCAGCATTAATTAACCCCGAATTAGAACCTTACTGTTGTAAGAGCTCATTTGAAAGTATGTGGCTATATGTGTGTATATATAAATAATGTCAAAGTGTAAAGAAGTGCATTTACCGTTTTGTGATTTATGCAGCTTTTTATGGACAGGAATCAATACAGGAAATATATATTATAACATTTATTTAATCAAAAAAATATATATTAGTTCAGAGGAGGGAGGAATCCTTTGTATGCACCGTCTTCTGGGAACTCCTGCCTTATTCTGGAGACAGCGCATGACGGGATCACAACACGAACGTGCTGTCCCAGGTAACCCCAACACCACCTGACCACATTCCGGTACGCCAGATGTCTGTAACAGCTGAGAAAGAGGTGGTATGAGTTATAAAGTATTCATAAAAAAAGTAATTTGACAGTTGTCTTACCTGTTGAGCGTAGTCTCCTGCATCTCCCCATAGAGTTGCAGAAAGGTGCCATAAACTGCCTGCAACACGTAGGGATTCAGAGCAACAGCCTCAAAACCAGGATGCTCTGTTATGCAGGAGGTTACACCCACCTGCTGACACCTGAGCATTACCTATGACAAAGAACAACTGATATCAGGGCTATAAGAGTTCAATATTAGTATGATGTTAGTGATTGTGTAACAAATGTGTACATTACAGAATGCTTTTCTCATGGTGGGGTACTTTTATTTTTATACCTTGGGCGTTTCTCTGCAGCACACATTTTCTCTGGCAGACAATGATGTGCAGTGGCCGCAGGTGCACCTGTCGAGGCAGTCATACAATATTACTTTTAGCTAAGCTAAATATAGCTAGCTGTGGCTAAAAGCTACTTACCACTCAGAGACTGGACCCATTCGATGCCTTGATACTCCTGCTGGCTCGACTCCAGGGGCCTCTGACAACTCACGAGCTAGTGGCTCAAAAAGATACGGTTCAGGACCGCTTGCTTCCCCCAATAAGCCCTCCTCCCTATCCTCTGGGGAAGAAGGTGGGGAAAAGTCCTCCACCTCGAATGACTGCTCTGAGCTAGTGTCGCTCTCCGTCGCCATCTGTATTCAAATTTCAGTATGTCAATCACGGCCGTAGCTCCGCCTTCTTGGTCTTACAGGAAACGCCTCTTTGGGCCGCATTTTTCAAATATGAAATGTGGGTGGAGTAAGACTCTGAGGAGGCTGTTACCACTACTTTAAGTACCGGAAGAGGTTATCTTTGCTTTCTGAATGTCCATATTGCTAGATATGCTGAGTTTTAGGGCGAAATCCTGGGGAATTTTGTCTAGAAATGCAATTACCTAACTGTGCGCGATCCCGCGGTGGCTAATCATTTTTTGGCAGCGAGTCAATTTATGGCACAACACCGGCTCGGGTTTCTCCTCCTCCTCCCTCTTTTCTTCTCCAACCTGTCGCTGGGCTGAGGCTCCATCACTTCCTAAATTGATTTTACTTGAACCTTCACTACCAAACAACTGTGAGATTTTAACACATGTGCCAGCATCAGCCTGAAGGGCCAGTTTCTTTTTTAATCGAATTTTCTCCGCTCCTCCTTTCCATTTTTTGTTGTTAAGCTCGTCTGTCTGTTTACTGAGATTCACAAACAACTGGCGGGTGCATCAGACCTCTTGCTATTGGTCCAGCCCAGAGTGTATTATTACCAATTGGCCAATCCACCAACTTTTACGAGGCGTCGCGTGGGGCGGTGCGGACAAGTTGTCCGCAACAACTAGAGGCCAGGAAAAAAAAAAAAAAAACAGACACCGGCCCATAAAAGATGAAAGGGTCGGCCCAGCGGGCAGTTGCCCGCTATGCCCTATGGTCAGTCCAGCACTGGTAGAGATGTAGCATTAAGGAATGGCTACATATGTGACAAATGATAACAAGATGTGATGATACCATATAAATGTGAAATAACAACCTGATTGATCTTTGAACGTTTAATCAGAAGATTCTAGTGACTTTTACTTATTCAGGGACCATAAACACACTTCGTAATAATTCAGAGTCAAGTTTAGGTTATAAAAATGAATTTATTTCTACTTCCCTTAACTAATGATTATACAAGACAAGATATGGATGAAATGATGGAATGTAAGCTAGATATGTTAGCAAAACTTTACTTAAGTATCTGAGAGAATTTGTAGAGTCTGGGTTGTAAAATCAGTTTGGCTGTATGCTTTGT